TATATATATGAAAAATATTTACAAAAATATGAAGGTACAAAAGATTTTCTTTTATTCTTACAAAGATAAACCTTAGGTTACATCATATTTCCATAGCCAAGATCCTGATGATCGTATCCCTAATGACCTTTCATAAGATATTTAAAAATGGCTTTTATTCCAAGCAATGCCCCCTATAGGTAGCTGAGTGCATATACAGATTATTTAGGTATGGTAGATCTATGTGTGATGCCACAGATGTGGTGGTTTTCAGTTTTATGGTTTTATAGTTTGTGTGTTATTGTTTTTGATTTGATCTTTGTTGCCCAGAATTGTGTAACAAGCCAGTTTAAATCAATGGATGAAAGTTTGTGAAGGCATTTGTACTGTCCTATAGGATCCAGAAGTTAAGCAGAGTTGGGTCCAGTCAATAGTTGGGTGACCGGCCATGAGGAAATTCAGGGCTATAGAACAAGTAGTAAAAATTATCCTAGAATACAGTAATGGCAAAATTTTTGTAGACTGTTCCCCAAATCACTACATCGATGTTTTATAAAAAGAATTTACAAAAAGACACAGAAAAGTTTTAGATGTTTAAACTCCAAATAAATTTTATTAGATTTTTCTTTATTCACAGAAACAGCATTAAAATAAATCTAATACCTTAAATGAAAGAATCAAACAGCAAATAGTGTTTTTTTAAAAAAAACAATGTTTTTTGACTAGTTTCTTGTCTACAACAATTCAGAAACCACAAATACCAATTTCACAGATGCACTGTGTAATTTCTAAAGAGGTTTGTCAGTTACTGCTACTTACTGATGACAAACCAAAGATACTAAGTAGATCCAAACAGATAAAATCTTATTTGGATAAGGATGAATATATACAGCAAGAGCAAATTCTGTATAGGGAATTTCTGAAGAATGAATTCCTGTCTGATAAACTGCCTCAGTTATTGACGGGATATCTAGGTATGGCATCTGTAAAGGAAATCCTGTAACCTACAAAAAAAAGTTTAAATACATGTTTAAAATAAGCATATATTACACATCTGCATGAAACAGTACTTTAAATCCAAATAGTACAAACCAAGATGGCATATAAAACAATTGTTCTAGATATAATTTTTAAATTAAAGATTGCCATTTTCAATATTTAAAAAATATTTATTTAAACATAGTTTAAAAATAATCTTGTTGCAATAAAGTATTTGAGACATAGCCAAGCTAGTAAACATAGCCAAACATTTGCTTCAGAATCAAAATAATAGCTAATATAGGAGATGCAAATTTGGACACTTTTTCAGTATTCTAATACAGCTTTTGCAGTATTTTGTAAATGTTTTTTATAACCTTTCGAGCCCCTTTCACTTTCTACTTTTTCCAGGGTGTAGCTCAATCACACGGGTTGTGTGAAGGATCAGGTGAAGGGAGGAAGGAAGCTCTAATCTTAGAGATCAGCTACTTTGTAGGGTCAGAGACCTGGAGCTTTTGAGAGAGTCCCCTTCCCCACTGCTTGAAATGCCTGGCAGCTGTTAAAAAGCTCAAACAACGCTGGATGAATGCAGGGTAAAGAGCAAACAAGAGGGCTCACTGAACCCTCTGTACCACACCTGTCACCAGCTGTTTGGGATCCTTTTTAACTCCATATTTGAAAGAAATCAAAGAACTGGTGAAAGCATCTTGTCTCTTTGTGATGAGGCCTGCTAAAATCAGAACCCTCCAATAATGCTTGAAAGTAAGTTGTAGAAGCTGGGAACCTTATCTATCCTGGACAGCAGAGGGTTATAAGAATGAGATCTGACAAGTCTTAATGAACTTTGTCTATAACTCATGTAAGAATTGGAAAGGGATGAAAGATATAGGAGATTGGTCCAAAAATTACAGGAAAGTATAAAGACATCAAAGTCCTAGAGCCTGAGAACAGGACATTATTCACTGTCTTTCTTCAGTACCATGAGTGTTTAACTTGTATATCTTATTTAAAATCTATTAATTTCTCTGTCTTGTTCAAATGTTTGTAAAAGAACAGTATATAAAAAAAGAATATTATCACACACAAAAGATTGTTTGACAGGTTAACATAATCAAGTGCAACCCCAACTGGAAATAAATCAGGAGTAAGTAGACCATTTGGCTTTGCAGAAGTAGCAAGTCAATTGTTTTTCTACTAGTTTCAGAATATCTTTTAATTCCTGATTCCCAAGATAGGTATCAGTCAATGAAATAGAAGATGATGATAAGATAGGATGAAGAATGTTTCCTGGTACAAGAGTTGGAAACCCAAACAATGGCCAAGAACCAGAGTTGTCTGCATCATGGGATGATTAGAATGCATGAAAAAATATTGAGGTCAAGTATGTGGAATCACCAGGTGAGCAGAAAATTACTGAGAAGCAAGTGATCCAGAGTAGAAGAAATAGATCCTCTTAAGGATTCCCAAATTCAGCTTAATTTGCAACATTTACGGTTTTTGTATCAAATAGGTTGATAGTGTTATTCCATTCTGTGAAGATTATGAGCAACTCTGGAGTTTACATTCATGACTGAATTGCTGAGAGCAATTACCTCCCCTGTGTCTGAGAAACAGATGCTCATAGGCATTTAGAGATGATGGATGCATGCACTAATTCTAGAACTAGATAATAAGATGCTTGGAATTTGCTATCATTTGATCAATATACTGTATTAAAAAAATACTCAGAAGCTACTTGCAAATATCTGTGGAGATTTTCAGTCATCCAGGTCATTGTTGTCTCAGAGGAGCTATTTCAAAGGCAACTGGACGAATCTGACATTAGTGTGTTGGAACCAACACTAATGAAACAAACGAACGCATTGCTATTAGAACTAAATAATAGCATTTATTGTACTAGCTCACACTCTGAAACTGCAGATGAATCTGAAATTCTTGGTATCATGGCAAAGACTGTTTACTGTCACAGCAGATATATGAAAGTAGAACATTTAATGTAGTTGAGCATCATGGGAAAAATGGTATAAGCTATGATACTGATCATATAATGTTATTTCACAGTGTAATACTACTTTGCAAGGAAAAATAAAATTTTATATCCATGGAGCAAGAAGACCTCTGAGACTAATCATCAAAGCACCTGTCTGCCCTAATAGGGTAGTTAGATGCAATAGGAGGCTGGCAACTATATCAATCTCCTAACAAGGCAGTGGGATGACTCCTAAGGAGAACAGGGCTGAGAAAAGATTGGAGAAGTGACTGGCTAATTGTTCTATAACCTCACTATCTCAGAAACATAATTGTGTTAACTTTTGTTTGTATAGTATAACTAGTCAGCTGAAGGAAGTATCAGATCGAATGGAAAGTTATCCTACTTCCTATGGAGAAAGTTATTAATGCAAAATTATATTGTTCCCTCTTTTAGGGAAACGTCTTCCTTTATGTGTGCTTCAAGGAACAATTACATTTTTAATACTATTTAAAAATAGGAATGATAATTGATTTCCCTTATGTTACTGGGAGTATCTGGAAGATAGTTGGATGGCTTAATAAGGAGGCTGCCATACCAATCTTTTATGATATAAAAACTGTGGAAAGTAACAGTTGTTTTCAAGCGGCTGAATTTGAGACAACTGGCATCATCTGAAATAATATTAAATAACTAAGACATAGTTGAAAAGAAAGCAGCTTCTTACAAAATTGTACAGAGTAGAACAAATTATGTATTTATGACTCTTTTATCAAACACTAGCAGCATAGGCAAGTTTCCACCTAAGTGGAAACAATTAATGAAACCATTAGATAAGAGTAATTTCATGCCACATTTTTTTCTAAAAGAGTTGATATACCCAGAGCAAATCCTCCAGGGACAAAGAAAATAGGATGGGGAGTTGATGATAGAAGAAAAGAACACATAGTAACAATCATCTACATTAGGTTACTCTTTTAATGGCCTGAAAGGGAGATGAATTTGAAAATTGTGTAGGATTAAACCAGCATATTTATTCTACATCCATAAGTCCATGCTTTCTGCTACTACTATTCATACAGGAATAGATAGAGAATATTGTCAAACACAGGAACCATACTTTTGTATTAAGTTGTGCCATGTCTTGTAATGATTAACCAGTTCATATTGCTACTTTTTTGGGCAACAGAAAGCTCTAAGGAATAGTCTGAAGTTTATCCTTGGCTTTCTCAATAAAAAAGAGTTATGATGGCACCTACCCAAGGACTTTGTATGGATAATTATAATTTTTATGGCTCTGTCTTATCCTTGTCTTACTGTTCTTGTTTATCTTATACAGCAATTTGGTATCTGGCTTTACCTCCCACATCTTCTGTTTCTTTGGCCTCATTCCCCCAACTCAGAATCTCTGAGCTCAGTAATCAATTTTTGTTAATGACTGACCACTAACAATCAGGATCCAAATTCTACTTGTTATGTGCAAGCGAAATATGCTTCCTTGTGTATAAAGCAAATATTTTTTTCCAAGGGTAGCCCTTCATATTTTGTGAAATGCTGTTTGGCAGATGCCCTCTCCCCAAATGTTCAGTAACAGTAACAAAACTAACCCAGTAATGCTCTTGAAAAGCTTCCAAATAACTTTCCTCTTTTTCTTTGGTTATATGTCCACTTCTAAGCTCAAGCTTAGGAAGAATTTGTCTTAAAACACTAGTACACTGTCGATGCCATCGAGTTGGAAGATGAGATCGCCACTCCATTATTTTATTTTTTAATGTTCTTTCAATTCTGTTTTTTAAAAAAATAGGATGTTTATTATTATTATAGTTACTATACTGTTAATTTATCCACTTGATAAAAAAAAACCGGAGTACCGTTTTGTGTGAAGAGTTTTTATGATCATGAAACTTTTAAATTATTCTGTTTCCATTTCTTGATGTAATGATGTTTTGAACACAGTATACAACTTGGGAAGGGTGTTAATTTTGTTAAGAAAAATTACAAAGCTACAACAGCTACAGAACAAACTGGGACAGTGAAACACACTGAATGGGGAAAAATACTGAAAAGGAAATATTGCTAATACTGTATACTTTGTTTCTAAAAAAGCATTGTTGCTACTGCAATGAATAAAGAAAAAAGGATAGAAATTAAAAGTTTTTTTTCTAATCAACAGATAGAAAGCAGAAAGAAATCAGTACTGGAAGATGGTAAGCAACTATAATGCACTAAAATGCGCATGTGCAATAGTTCTGTTTGAGGAGACATAGCCTTTACGATTTCAGAGAAGTAGATTTAATGTTATAGGAAGTGCCTTTAAAGACTGGCTATTATTTTTAATAGTTAGTAATCCATTTTTGTTAATGACTGACCACTAACAATCAGGATCCAAATTCTACTTGTTATGTGCAAGTGAAATATGCCTTCACTTTTTTGTTAACCATCTTGTTCATGAAGCTTGAGGAATGTTAGGGATGAAAAGTGCAATCTAAGAAAATATGGATTCCTTTTGGAATTTGCAATAGGAAGAAGATCACCTTACTTTTTAAAAAACTTTTATAGCAGCATGATGACTTTTCCATCTTCCCCTAGTTTTGTGGCAAGCATAAGTGTTCCCACAAGATAAACAGATCTAGAAAACCTACAGGAATGTCCAACCTTGGCAACTTTAAGACTTGTGCACTTCGATTCCCAGAATTCTTTAGCCAGGAATGCTGGCTGGAGAATTCTGGGAGTTGAAGTCCCCAGATCTTAAAGTTGCTAAGGTTAGACACACCTGAACAGAATTGGCAAATGAATTGAAAACATGAGAGTCAGAGTATAATGGATTTTAAAATGTCTGTCTGTCTGTCTGTTTATCCTATCTATCTATCTATCTATCTATCTATCTATCTATCTATCTATCTATCTATCTATTTATCTATCAATGTATTGGCTGCCCAACTCTAATGGACTCAACCTATCCAAAGTCACAAAAAGATTCTCCACTTTAGCAACAAGAAAGACATTTGCAAAAAAGTCCATTGATAGATGTGATGTTAGAGCCAAAACAAATGAACAGGTGCACGTATTTCTTATATAACTATGGAGAAGGTTAGGGTTAAGGTTAGCTTAAAGTAAAGAAATTATTATATGAAAGACATTTTAAAAAAGTAGGGTGAAGCTGATTACAAATTGTTTTTATATTTTTGTATTACATCTTAATTATTATACATTTTTACATAAAATATATTGATTTGACACAATTTGATAATTTATGAGGTTATTCAATTAATTGAAGTATATAAATATTTTACCTCAGCTGAAAATGGCTTAAATAGTTATTTTAAAAGCACCATTGAGATAATATCAGCTTTAAAATTTCAGGTAAACTTTTAGAGAGGAAATCAAGGAGATTATTAATGTATTAAATCAATTTATTGCCAACAAAGTTTTTAGATTTTTAAATTTTATTATTTTTAACGATTTTGGGATTGCCTAAAATTGCAAAATGGTTGTATATTCAATTAAAACATTTATTATTTTCATAATTTGGTGCATTAGCAGCATAAAAAAACTTCCAGATCATTATTATATTAGAGGCTGTTTTGGATGATTCTAAGATTAATTTTTTAATATTATGAAAGAGTGTCAGTATGGTTGACATTGTTTGCAAGAATAAATACATAATCTGACTTTACCTAAAGTATAATAAGCGGCGTCCAACCCTAGAAGCAAATGGTCCCAAAACATTTTTTAAAATGATCAAAATAATATGTAGTTTGGCACTGAGTCCCTCAACTTTATAAAATGTTATTAAAGTAATTACCTATTTTGTAACTCATCTACCAAACTTCCATCCGTTGCAACATAAAATATTTGTTCTGGCTGAAACAAAAAATTGAATACAGCTCATCAGTCTGGAATCTGCATTACATATCTGATATTAATACAATTGAGAAAGTCCAGAAATATTTTAGGAGAAGAATCTTCCACTCCTCTACTCGTAGCAGAATACCTTATGCCACCAGACTTGAAATTTTAGACCTAGACAACCTAGAACTACGTCACCTTCCGTTCAATCTAAATATAGTATATAAAATCATATATTGCAATGTCCTACCTGTCAATGAATACTTCAGCTTCAACCATAACAACACAAAAGCACACAATAGATACAAACTCAAGGTAAACTGCACCACACTTGATTGCAGGAAGTACAACTTCAGCAACAGAGCGGTCAGTGTCTGGAATACTCTACCTGATTCTGTGGTTTCTTCCCCAAACCCCAAAAACTTTAACCTTAGACTGTCTACTATTGACCTCACCCCTTTCCTAGGAGGTCTGTCGGGAGTGTGCATAAATGCACCAAAATGTGCCTACCGTCCCTGTCCTATTGTTTCTTTTTTTTCTTATTCATATCCATTTCATGTATTTATAACCATGTTTATACTTATACCTGTTATCTAATAATTGTTTGACAAAATAAATAAATAAAAATACATTAAAAAGCAATTGTACAACTATGGAACATTCAAATGCAAGCTAACGAGGATTTTGAAGATCTTCTAAGACATGTTTTGCCAATTCTGAAAAATGTATATTTGGAAGATGCTATTCTTACTTAGTATTTGGTAATATCACAGATGCATACTTGTCCAATTACTTTCATGATTACTGCTTTATGCTGAACACTGCTAAATCTTCATATACCGTTTACCTTGATATCTCTTTACCTTGATATCCCGAGCTTGGCTTCCTTCCTAAGTCCCTCCAGCCCAAGCTCAAAGGGGCTGCCGGGAGAGGCTGCCCGAGGCAGTGATAGCACCCACCCGTCCGCAGACAGGGAGGAGAGGCAATGGCAGTGCTGCTTCCCTGGCCGGTGGGTCCGGCGGAGAGAGCCCGAAGCCGACCGTACTTTCCATCCCCCGCCCAGCCCGTCCCCATCCCCACGCATATCCAAATGCGCCAGCAGCTCCATACATTGCAACGGCACGGGCATCGGGCAGAGGCGCTCACTCAGCGGGGCTCAGCTCGGAGAACGCGGCGCAGGCCATTGCCTTGCCTCCCTGTCCACGGACAGGTGGGTGCTATCACTGCCTAAGGTGGCCTCTCCCAGTGGCCCCTTTGGGTTTGGGCTGGAGGGACTGGGAAGGAAGCCAAGCTCGGGTCGGCCCAGCTCTTTCGCTTGGCAGGCGGGCGCGTATCCACGGCTTGTTTTCCCGGGTCTGCCCAGCCCGCACGGCTCTGGCACAGCCCTGGTGGGATGAGCGGAGGGCCTGGCAGGGAGGCATTCGCTGCCTTGGAGAGAGTTCTGCCGCCGGGCAGGAGGGCCCACCTGTCAGCTGCGCTGGGTGACCCAGGCGAAGCTCTTCACGCTCTGCCTGGTGCCAGGCAGGGATGGCAGCTGGGTGCTTCTCCCGGGGTGGGCCAATCCTGTGCTGCGGCCCTGGGAGATTTGCCTCTCCATGTGGGGTTGGGCTACCCTCTCGGGCAGAGGAGGCTTTGTCCTACTGGTAGTAGGGAGTCGTTTTTAAAAGAATTGGCTTTGCCTTCGAAGGTGAAGGGAAGGGGGTGACAGGAGCACCTGAAGCCGAGTGTTTCTGCCGGGCTCCAGTTGCAGGGAGGAGCCCTGGCTGGCCATGCGTGGCTGCGCCAAACACCGCAGCATTGCCCTAAACGCCACGGCAGCACGGGGAGAAGGGAAAGCAATGGTGGTGGAAGGTCTCCCGATACGAAGTGCCACCAACGCAGAGATCAACATCCAAGCCGTCGCTGCCTGCCCGCCCGAGGATGCAAGGGGGGGGGAATTAAGTCACCCCCGAAAAGACGACCTAGCTGTTTTTTCGGGGGGTCAAAATAAAATAAGTCCTGGCCTTATTTTGTGAGAAACACGGTAACATTCCATTCATTTCATTCCAGTCTCTCTCTCAGAAGTGATAATCAGTTGTATCTTCTCCACTGATCAGACAGTTTTTGAGGGATATAGAAAATAGATTTTCTGGGCTACTACTTTTAAATCCTCCTATCAGCCAGATTTTTTTTTTGAGTCAATAATGTAACATAATACATAATAAACTGCAGTTGCAGTTTGAAGAGTTGCTGCTAGGAGCAAAGCCTCTTCTCAAACAGAATCAAGGAAGGAGGGTAGAAACAGCTGAGAACTAGCATGAGTTGGAAGCAAAGATGGTTTCTCAAGCCTGATTGCAGCTCACATAAATATCATCTGATGGACATGTCCCTTAACTCATCTCACATATACTTCATTTCCAATGGAACTGGTATGAAATAGTAAGAGTTTATTTCACAGACTATTGGTTTTGCATTTTGTTCCTAGGTTTCTTGACATTTTCCCATTTTCAGCTTATAACTTTACACCTTTCACCAACAAATAAATAAACCCTATTTTAATATTAGAGCACTTTCTGGGTGTAGGAGTAGGTATCTCACAGAAGATAAGCAACAGAACTGTTCCATATCTGCCTAAGAATATAGATAAATAAGCAATGGAGGCAGGAAAACTGGTAAGAAAACCTTTCCCAAATCAGAAAATCTATTCTGGTCCCAGCACTTGTTTTACTATAGCTATCAGTTGAGACTTTCAAGAAGAGATTGGACTGCCATTTGTCAGAAATAGTGTAGGGTCTCCCACTTGGGCGGGGGGTTGGACTAGATGACCTACAAGGTCCCTTCCAACTCTGATTATCTGTATCGAAGTTTCTCTTGTCAAGAATGCTAAATGTGTTTTAAAGGTGCTTTTAAAAACCACATGCTGTTGGCCATACCTGCCATTTGCATTTCTAGAAGCAGCAGTGTGATACACAAAGTTATAGAGAGAACATTACTGTTAGGGTAGATAAAGATGGAATATTTCATTAAATGTTAAACAAATTTATCCAATCTTATCCTGAATTGGAGTGGCTAGCAATATCATAATACTAATTTCTTAGTCTACATTCCTTCTATCTATCTCTTTGCAGACATCCCTTTTTTAAATAAAGTATTCTTTCATACACACCTCAAATGTAAAAATTCAATTGCGAATTATAATTTGTAGATACTGAAATGGTTCTTACCTGCACTGTTTGTGTTTTTGAATTCTGGAAATTGTATGGAAGCAATTGTTTCCAAAAGCTTTCCTTTGAAATGTCAAAACTGGTGCACATTGGTGAATTGTTTTGTTGAATGTTAAACCAGACCTATAAAATTTTATTTTAAAAATGATTTACAAAATATATTTATATTTATATACTATATATTTTTATAAATCTAACTCAATCTAAAAAACATGATTTTAAAATATTATAACATTTTTGATGTGACACATTTTTAATTTGTAAGAAATTAAGTATCAAGAAAGTTGTGAGTACGTATCTTTACTAGAAGTCTAAAAAATAGATTTCTTATTTCTCCTACATTAATTTATATTCATTATACTATGTTTCACTTATATAGTGAATTTATATAAATTCACTACAAGATACAAAACTCTTGGTGTCATCTCATTCAATATTTTTCCTTGCACATAAATGCAGTTGTAATTTATAACTTAAACATATAGATTTGACTAATATCAGCAAAATATATAGAAATAAAATAGGGAAAAATTATTTCAGTTTAATGGCATCATATTCAGAAAGAGAAATATGTTTTTTAAAAATAATAGCTTTCAAATTTTAGCTACATTAGAAAATAGTTTTTATTTGCTCAAGCGTATTACTAATTCTTTCCATATACACAAGTATTGTTTATTTTTGAGTCCTCCATGAGTTTCTTATCCTGAGACATTAAAATAAATGTCATATAAAATAGATAATTAAAATGTGTGCTTCTTGTTCAATCTATTTCTTTTGAATAAAAGTAACTGTAGAACCCACATTTTATAGGACATACAAGAAAGTGATTAATCTTTTCCTCCCTATTTTCTCATTTAAATTTTGTCTCAGAAATTTTTGTTCGCAGTAATATTAACTGAGGAGGTTTGACATTAGAGAATAGTGCTGGGGAAAATTTCTTCCAATTGGGACCTGCTAGAAGAAAATTTACAAATTTGTCATGTTTTGGAAGAATTTAATTTATAATATTTGTTCAATGTAACCAAGACTGACTTCTAACAGTAGAAGGCTGGATCTCCTTAGCCAACGATGTGATGGAAAAATGGTTTTCTGACTCTCAGATTTTCATTATATGAACTGCACATTCCATGTACTTTATATATACATTTCATCATAGTGCACAAAGTTTTTAAGATTGCAAAATACAGAAAGCTTTTATCTTATGCCTGACATTTTCTAAATTTAATTATTTTTGGTGACAATCAGAAAAACCAAACAATTACTTGAGCTACAAATCTTCACACTTGCTAAAAGCTTAGGGAAGTGAAACTTTTCCAGGTAAAGCAAGAGATCATAAAAACAACTGAAGGTGTGTGGAGGTTGAATGGAGAGAGCTGTCCAAGAATTTTTTTAATTAGAAACGATGGGATAGTAGTCTGTTTGCTTACATTAGATTTTTTAAAATTACAGAGATATAAGAAATGTTTAATATAACTCATCTCTTCCACTCCCCCATCACATTAATTATAATACCATAATCACTTGGATAAATTAGGATTATATATACATTATCAACCCATCTTATTATAAATACTTACATTTTCCCAACTGATTAAGCAATCAACACTCTGTAGGGGGCAAAATGCGTCAAACTGCTTATAGCAGTGGCCACTCAGGGGATTCCACAGAAAATATTCTCCATTTTCTTGTGTTGCAACATAAGCTACTTTCCCCTGTTAACAAAATGTTTATTCGTTCCAAATACAAAATAAACAATGTTATATTTAATTATATTTTCTACTTAATAAATTATTCATGTAACATTCTTTTGAAAAAAAAATCCTTACATACATTAATGTAAATATCTGATTTAAGTTTTAGAATAAGAACACTGATATATGCAAGGTAGAAACAGGAACACCTGTAGCTCTCCAAATATTAATTCCAACACACAACAAACTATCATAGCACAGTTTCATTTCCAGTTTCCCATTTTTGGCCATTCTATTTCAAGATTATTGTATGTAACTATTTCTCTTTGCTGTTGAAATAGGATGCATATGAAATAACTTGTTCTGAAATAAATCCTTAATATCTATAATGGAGTTTTCTTAAATCTGAAATTAAATAAAAAAATCAACTGGATGTGCAAATCAGTGTAAATTGAAATTGTGTTGGTACAATATGCATGCAAATAATTTTTCCACCAACTATTTTGGGCAAATTATTTTTTAAAGCTGCAGCAAATATGTAATTGTTATTCAGCTTGCCAAATGTATTTTTTTCTATGTAACTGTTTCCAGTATAACATTTCTATGCACTATTTCTTTTTTATTATACTGTTATATTATTAAACATTAGAATATAAAATAAAAATAAAAATAGTAGGAAAATGGGAAGGGAGAAAAGGGGAAATAAGGAAGTGTAAGATAAATAGGAAAAAAGGAAAAAGCCTTAACTTTTGAGCACAGTAGAATCGGGTGGGTGTGGCCATGGTGGGCTTGGCCTAGTCAGCTTCCTATACCACAGTGGGGGGGCTTTTCGCGTTGCCCGGGCTCTGGAGGTTTTCCTCGAGCCTCCAGGAGGGCGAAAACGGCCTTCCCAGGCTCCGGAGGCTCTCTAGAAGCCGGATCGGTCCCATTTCCAGCCTTCCCAAACTTCCAGAAGGCCTGTTGTTCGCCCTCCCTGAGCCTCTGCATGCGCCCTGCACTTACCTGCAGCCACATGGGGACTTCTGAGGGGGCAGGGGGGGCAGCCAGGAGTGGGATTTGGGGTTTCTTCAAATTGCACAGAATCTTATCTAGGAGCTCTCCTGAACCCCTGCGAACCCTGAGCAGCCCACTACTGAGTAGAATGAACATCACAATATTATAGTCTCAACTTTTTACTTTGCATAATCAGTATACACTACTAGTCATTTCTATAACAAAGAAAACTTGTCTAAAGTTCAGTCATGCTAATGACAGAAAATGATGTTCACATGGCCCAATGCTGAGTGAATGTCATTTAGTTTTAATTCTATTCACGGTACATACTTTTTACAGGTGCTATATTTCTATGACCTATTTTATACTCATTTTACTTGCTCAGTGTTGAATATTAAAGAAAGGTAGAGGCTTTCCCTGTCCAGCCATGTCCAATTCTAGGAGGGGGTGCTCATCTCCATTTCTTAGCCTAGACAGCATTGTCCGACAACATTTCAGTGGATATGTGGCCATCATGACTATATAATATATACCGAAGCATACAGAACACTGTTACCTTCCCACTAAAGTGTTAGCTGTTTATCTATTTGCATTTGCATGCTTTTGAACTGCTAGGTGAGCAGTGGTTGGGGGAAGTCACAGAGGCTCACCCCAATGCACAGCACTATATCTATAATTTGAAAATACTTCAGTGAAGTAAGAAACAAATCCCAAAGTCAAAGTTTAATTTTCCTCCATCTCAAGCATAAAATCCTTAACCAGTTTCCAGATAGAAACAAAATTGGATGTACTCTTCTCTTTCATTAAAGTGGTTCATTTAGAGAACTCCACTTGTTCCATCAATTGCTCTAATCCAGGGCTGTCGAACTCCTGGCCTGTGGACCGGATGCTCCATGCACTGGCCACGCCCATGCCTGGTTTAACTAAGGGGGGGAGGGAATTCTGATACATCATGTGATAACATGAGTTTGACACCCCTGCTCTAATCATTCTTCCATTGTGGAAGTTAATTAATTATTTTCCATTTTGGCTTTATGCACTATCCCTGAGCTAGAAGCACTGCATATTCACATATGCTAATGAATGCTAATGAATACTGTGACATCAAGACCAATTCAGTTTTCAGATCAGATCATTTGGTTTGAATGGAAACCCATGAAAGCGTCTTTAAAATAGCTTAAGTTGCTTGATTTAACATACGTGCTAATGCTTTTCTTTATATAAGAATCTCAATCTGCTTTACAGTTTCACTCATTGTGTAGTTTAGAATATCTGAAAAGCACAGTTTTAATTATTTTGTTAATTCAAAAATTATTTTGCTCTTACTTCTAACACAGATGTTCCTAACAATACCCAGGCTTTTTTCCCAATGTACAGAAGATAATTACACAGAAGCACTGCATGCTCTTCTTTATTACCAACACCCAATTCGATGCAATGCTAGAAAAAAAAGATAGTTTTTTTAATGTAAGTTTCTCTTCATACATAATAACAATGTAATGTCATTATCAATAGCAGAGTAGTTATCATGAAGAAGTTTAGAAGCAGCAAGGTATTTCAGGTAGCCATACATTATTCAAAAATAATGGCGTAGCCAGTCTGGGCCAAATATAGAGAAGCCCGGCAGAGCTGCCTCAAGCCATAATAGACATGGACAATGAGGAATTGTCCATGAGGAAGCCGGGCTGAATACAAGATCACAGGCAAAACAACAAATGGATCTGGTTGATATATCAAGTGTGCCTGTGAGGTGGAGGTCCGTTGGTGTGAAGGAGGGGTTCAAAGAGAATGCCTCCAAAACAACAGCTGACAGTTCAGCACCATTTCTTGGAGATGAGCAGCCCAAGTGGGGCATGACAAGAGGAAGCAATATGAATTAAGCCTCCATCGATTAACATATCTGAAGTAAAAACAATAGAGCTAATTATAGGTGGGAGGTGGGTGGATGGGCCTATTATGTGCACAATGGCTAAATTGATCAATGATGCATAAAGGCAAATATCTCTCCAATGGTAGTTTTTACACTCTGATTATACACACACACACACACACACACACACACACACACACACACACATATGGTATGGTATTCAGCTTTGTTCGGGTATTTTCCCACGTCATTATAGTTGTGCTTTTAAAGTTATAGCAACGTTTCGGCAGAATCTCATCTGCCATCATCAGGCTTCTGTATTGTGTTCATCTGTGAGTCAGACTTTCACAGCTGTTTCAGTTTTAAATTTGGGGCTAGCCTACTGCTGTTCCAGAATGTTTTTTTCTTCATCCTGATTGAGTCTTGGTCTGTGTTTATTGGTCTTGGAATTTGCTGTGTTCTGCTTGATTGGTGTTTCTAATATCTTCTGTCTGTTTTGTGGCTTTTTTTGTCTTGATTGGCTGGCAACATTGTGTTCCTGTATTGGAGGCTTTTAGTGTGGCTTGGCTCCGAGTAAATGGACGGCTATCCTTTATTAGGAAGCTGGTTTCATCTGGGTGCCTGGTTGGGGTGTGTTTGAGCTGGAGGTATCGGGGGGATCTGTTTGTGCCCAGGTGTTTGCCTGGCTTGTGGTGTAGAGATTTTTTTGTTTGTGAGTGCAGGCTTCCAGATAATTGACAGTCTGGTGGAATCATCTCTTCTATTCATGCTTTCTGGTCTTTTTTGAATCTCTGTGGCTTCTCTTATAATTCTGTAGCTGGGGTTTTCTATAGTGGCTAGGGTTTTGGTGCCATTGAAGTTGATGCTATGACCTGTGGCTTTCATGTGTTGGACTAGTGAGGAAGTGTGTTCCAGCTTTTTTATTGCATTTTTGTGTTCATCCAGGCAGGTACTTATTCTTCTCTTGGTCTGTCCAATGTATGTGGCAGGGCATGATGCACAGGGGACTTCATATATGCCTTGGTCAATTTTATCTTTGGGGTTTCTTAGGATGGCTGCTATTTTTCTGTCTGTTTTGAAGGCAGTCTTCATGTGATGCCTGTGTAGTATCTTACTGATTTTGTCTGTAGTACCTCTTATGTAGGGCAGGAAAGCTGTTCCCTGGGTCTGTTCATCTTCTAGGTCTCCATTATGTCTTTGTGTTTTTGTGGATCAAGCCAGTGAGTTTGCTTTTGTGAAAGCCTTTGGCTGTCAGGGTGCATAGTTCAGTCTTAATGTGTGTCTTGTCTGCCAGGCGTTTGGTTCTGGCGATAAGTGTTTTGGCCACGGAGTTTATCTGTGCTGGGTGGTGGTGGGATTGGGCATTGAGGTAGCGGTTGGTGTGTGTTTTCTTCTGGTATATGGTGTGTCCTAGTTTGCCATCTGTTTTTTTTTGTAGATTAGTACATCTAGGAATGGTAGTTGTTTGTTTCCGTTTCCATGGTGAACTTGATTTTGGGGTGTGTGCTGTTTAGGTGTTAGGAAATTGTTTAGGTTTTCTTTTCCATGGGGCCAAATCACAAATGTGTCATCGATATATCTTAACCATAGTTTGGGTTTGTGGGTGGCATTAGCCAGGGCTCTGGATTCAAATTCTTCCATGAACAGGTTTGCAATGACAGGTGACAGTGGTGATCCCATAGAGGCTCCTTCAATTTGCTGGTATCTTTGTCCTTTGTATATGAAATATGTGTTGGTTAAGTTCTGCTAATTCCATGAGGTGTTTAGCTGGTTGGTATTTATTTTTGATGATTCCAAGTGTTTCTTTTATCAGGACTTGAGTGAATAGTGAAACCACGTTGAAACTTACAAGCAGATCTTCTTGTTCCACATGTAGATCTTTGATCATTTCCAAGAAGTGGTATGAATTTTGTACATGTGAAGCTGCTGCTTCAGCATGGGGCTGTAGCTGCTTTGCTAAGTGTTTAGCTAGGTTTTGTAGTGGTGCTCCTCTGGAGCTGACTATGGGTCTGAGAGGTATGCATTCTTTGTGTATTTTTGGGAGGCCATACAGTTTGGGGCATCTGGAAGATTTTTCTCCTGGGATGATCGTCTGTTGGATCTCTTTGCTCATGTGGCTGATTATGATTTTCTTCTTGGTTATTTTTTTCAGATATATGGTTGGGTCCGTGTTTATGGGTTTTTATGTGGAGTCTTGGAGTAGGTCTGTCAATTTTGTTTTGTAGTCTTTTATGAGTTCTGGATATCTCCAATACAGTATGGAAGCGGGGGGGAAGGTGAGTGCATATCAGACTCACAACAAGTATAGCAATAAACCCCTGCATTCCAGGCATTACCTGGAAGTTACTAAAACAGAACTTACAAAATCAGTAAATTATTATTATTATTTATTAAATTAATGCTATTTATACCATTCAACTCATGAAGTGACTCTGAGCAGCTTCCCTGCTTGCATACAAACAATAATTATATGCACGGAAGACAGAACTATACAAAATTTTGACATATCAATTGTGAATACTTCATGTTTAAATTCTAGGCTTTTTCTAGATTTGGATCTGACTTCATCTTGTTGTTCAACATATTACATATTGAGTACTTCCCCCAATCTGGTGTTAGATAGAGATTACTCTTTCCAATATTTACCCAAATTCATTATTTATGAACATTACTAAAACACTAGTGAATAATTTAAGCATGGAAGAAAGAACTCAAGGGAGAGGGCTTTGAATTGCAGCTAATATGCAAACAAATGATAACAAAGAAGTTAGACTGGCATGTGAATTCATCTGGAGGCCTGTCAAGGGGAAGGAAATCTTTGGTCTGTAGGCTGCCAGGAAGATATAATGTGCTTAATCCTAAACTATCTTTATCTGATAAATTGATTCCATTTTTTTCCCTAAATGCAATAATCTCTAATCTCTATTCTTAGGAACAGTGAAGAATATTGAACAGGATCCTACATATATTTGATATGAAAGAACTCCTTGGTGGCCTTCAACAAATATACATTGTCTGTGCGATTTAAAGATAACATTCTTTCCAGAAATACCATGAAGAAAAGTTGGAAACACTTTGGAGAGACCAAATTTACAGTATAATTATCCTTTTGGTTGCAAAGCACTCCTTAATCTATTACTGAGCACCCTCACTGATGCATAAATTATTTATAAATCTATATTGGTAGGGGGCTGGCATTATGCCAATTGTTTTTCATATTACATGATATTTTCAGTGATCAAGACACTATGTCTTTATTGAAAAGTTCCATTTTAGTGTTGCTTAAATTGTCTCCTTTGCAAGACTGTAAAGGCCTAAACGCTTTATTTTTGAAATATCTATATCCTGGCCATTTACAAAGAATGTCTTTTTAAAAATCTGACAAAGAAAGAAATGAAGATTTTGAACTAAAAGCCATATTCAGAACAAACTGGATATATTCTGAACTAGCATCAGCCACAAAAGCTGAATCTTGACTCATTTATTATCCCTTGTCAAAACTAAATGTGATTGAAGGTCTTTTCTTTGCTTAGATCTAGGGTCAAGATTAACAAAACTCTTCCTATTATGGAAGAAGTGGCACTATTGAGAAAACCTTTGGTGATAAGTGAAAAATCTTCAAGGAAAAACAAAGTCCAGTTGCCTTTTAAAAAAGCACCTTTGGGATATTGAGAAAATCCTTATAACTACAACCGAAGCCTCATATTCCATTCTAACAACAGCCTCTCTTTCATCCTCCAAATTCTTTTATGACAACCTTATTTTTGGATACAATATTGAAAATATACTGATATAATACTGATATAATTGTTTCCCAACAATTATGGGAAAGAGATTCCCAACTCAATTTTGTGTAAGAAGAAATAATATTCCCTTTTGGTTGAAAAATTAAAACAGAAAAAATCCCTTTTCAATGGGATAAATTGCAATGCTTACTTTCAAAGAACAAAGAATCAGATTTGACTGTTCAAAAGGCAACGGATGTTTTTAGAAAGTTATAAAGAAGAACTGGAGAAAACAGAAATAAAAATCATAGAAAGAATTTCACAGCAGTCATAACTGCTGTGGGAATTGGAAAAAGATGATACTGAAACAGGTACTACAGATTTGGAGTTTTTTAACTTTTAAAACTAATTATGGATTACAATTGTTTTATATGGAATATAAATGAAGCAAATGCTCCTCAAAAAAGAAAAAATATATATTATTTGAAAAAAATTAAAGCAATCTGCCTAGAAGAGAATCATAACAATAAAAAGGATATAAAATATTTGACCTATAAAACTTTGGGTAAAGAATTAATTTCAGCAGATATTAAAAAGAGAAATGGAGCTGCTTTGTCTATTAATTGTCAATTGAACATATAATTTGTATTAACTGATTAACATGGCAGGTTTGTTGGAGAAGTTATATAGCATTTTAAAAAGTACAGTTATTTTTCAGAAAGACACAAATATTTTTCAAGGACAGATATGATTTACCCTTCAGGTGATTTGGCTGTTAAAATTTCATAAATTTTAATAGATTTTATCAGTTATTATTTTCAGATAATAACTGATTCATAAAAAAACATTCTTATTCTTTCATATGGAAGGAGATAGGCAATATAGAAATGTAAAAAATAAATAAATAAAAATATACAAAAATGAAATGTTTTTCCTGAAAGATGATATTGCTGAGGACTGCAAATACAAATTAAAAGACTTTTTTAAAAAATAATTTAAGTAAAGGTACCGATTTGGGAATTTACTTGGAATGCAAGTAAAATCTTTATTAGAGGTTATTTGATACAATATAATTCTGAATTTAAGAAGACACAAGAGAAAGTTATTCATAGAATGGCAAAGCAATTGCTAGAAATGTAATATTTTGTGATCTGTGAGGAAGTAATTTGAAGCTTTGTTTTTAATTATAATTTTTCTAATCTAATACGGTTTGGTGTAGAGGAACTTTAATATGCTCCTTATAGTGATGTGTGAAGTCCAGATGATTATCTTTGCTATATTTCAGAAACTTCTACCCTCTCTAGGGAGGGATGTCAGCTCTCTGCTATTAAGACTTACCAGGAGAGAAAAGAAAGAAATAATATTTTTATGTCAGATGGGGAAAATGTACTGAAATTGAGAGGACTTGGTTCCATAGCTAATTATTTTTTCCCCGCTCTTCTGGGTTTCGATGGATTCTTCCTCATCTGAGAACCTTTTGGGTTTCCTTGATCCTCAGTACTAGATATAGTGCACACAAAGTTTTGAAGAACTTGTTCTTTATCCAAAGAGGGGTTTAAGGATAAAAAGCATACTAACAAGATAGAGGTAAGTGGTAACTGTATGAAACATGAGAGGAAAAGCTAGTAAGCTATTGGTGATATATCCTATCTCAGAGTAAGACAGAAGCAAATCTGGAAACAGAATGTTCTTTATTAGATAGTCAGTTTCTACTTTTTTTTTGTATTATTGCGTATCAGAATAAGTGAGAACAATTTCTAAGAATATCTTCTCCTTTGCAGGAAAACACATTCCCGGTATTTTATAATTCAAGTGAACTAGTTTTTGTAAACTGATAAAGCAGCATGACATTTAAGCCTTTCACCAGAACATAAGTACCATATCACCCAATATTTTTTTTCTTTTCCTAGGTTCACTCTAGAATCAAACTGATTAAAACTTGAGTAATCTAGCAGATTACTCAAACAGAGTTAAATTCAGAATAGAACAAATAATATTACAATTAACAAAATTCACAATTGGCATAATCAAAATTATATGCCAGCCTCAGTTTTAATTTTTAATATGGTATATTCATAAATATAACCTATATAAACAGAAACTCTTTTGGGGTCCTTCATAACTTTTAAAAGTGGGAAGAGATCCTAAGAGGAAAAAGTATAAGAACCATGCATTCATATTAACTTCCATATAAATACTTCAGGTGGCTATCAGTGCAAATTACATAAAAATAAAACCAATTTTTATAAATCAGCAGAGCAGTATTACTATGAAATTTGGCAGTACCTCTGATGTCATCCACACATCAACATCATTATTTTCATCCACTGTATCTGCTATACAAGGAATTAAAGATACAAATCGTGATATAACGTCCTAGAAAATAAATAAGATGAAATCCAGTCAGCAGGAAATCAAATCAGGAAATCTGACTGATTTGTTTTATTTGGAATTATAATATCCATCAATTATTCATTGTATTATATTTTTTACATTTATTAACAAACGTAAAGAAAAAGTTCTAATTGGCACATCAGAAAAATCTAGACAGAAATAATAATCTGAAATGACTCAAGGCCATATTTAATGAAATCAGAAAGTTTTTATTTAATAATAAATCATACTCACAGAAGTTGAATTGGGATCTTTTGGATACATATCTAGAAACAGTTGTGGTGGATTCAAAGGGCTAATGTACTTAGTTACTAAAATATTCCTTCCCTGATTGTTAAAAACTGAAGTCATTATCCTTCTCTTTGGAAACACTGCTTTCCATGTTTGCTTAAAAATATATGCTCTTTGCAATAGTGTTTCTGCTTCATGATCTGCAAACTAAATATATATTCAGAATTAAGCCTCAACTTACAACCACTTAACAACAGTTTGAAGTTATGATGAGCCCTCCCAAAAGCTGCATATGTATGCTCATAATCACATAATTAAATGTTGGATGCTTGGCTCACTTTACAGCCGTTTGCAGAATTTCAATATTTTTCATCAGTTTTCTGGCGTTAACTTCCAGTTTCCAGCAAAAAAGTGGCCACTGGATAAAACAGATTTGCTTAACAATCACAGCATTTGTTAAATGACTGCCCAGGCAAGCATGCTTCAACTTACAACCCAGAGATGTTATTCAGCAGATTCTGACCAGTTCTGGAGAATGGTAGTGGAAATTTTGAGTAGTTCAGACTCGGCAAATACCACCTCTGACTGGAGATTTTACAATATCCTTCCCCTGCCACGCATATCAAGCCACACCCACAGAACCGGTATTAAAAATTTTTGAATCCCACCACTATTACAACCACAATACCTTGTGACTGTAATTCTGGGTTTAATTGCGGTTATAAGTAGAGGACTATCTATATATTGTACTTTATAATTAGAAAAAATATTTTGAAATTATCTTACTTATCAAATGAGATAATTACAAATGCCTACCGTATCTAGTTCTAAATTATTTTCAGCAGAAGATAACTGAGGTTCAATAGTAGCAAAGATGGTTAAAAAGCTATATTCTTTCAGGTTCTGCCCCAAACATTCTTCTTTAGGAGGTACATATGTCTTACTCCAAGTATATCCAAGTATAACAGATGGCATATCTATTTGAAATGTTCCACAGATCTGAGAACACATACATTTTAAAAATAGATATAATAAAGTCACAGTAAACATCTGATGGGATGGTTGCATTACAGAGATTATAATGACATGTTTAAAACCATAATTCTTGTTCCTTATTACCTTAGATTGTTCAAGTAGAGCAGAGAAAGGAAATACAATTGATCCAAGCCAGTTTTTTCTTATGTAAGAATGACCACTGCAACTATTTGGACAGGCATCCTAGTTAAATACATAACTTGGATTAATATTTTGTATTTAGATTAATGCATGTATTTATGTGCAAGGTAGAGAATGCAAGATAGTGTATGTGCATTTTAAAAAATACAGTATCTCCAACTGCAGCTTCTGAATGGTTGTGAAGAGTAGTCCCATATATAATATTAAAATAATCTAACTGGAAGTGACAAGAGTGAATCATGTTGGCCAAGACAATATGCTCCATTAATAATTTGGTTAACCAAACAAAGCTGAACAAATACATCAAGGAACAAAATGAGGTAGAGCATTCTGAACAGAATTTATGCATAATACTCTCTTTTCTTAAATAATATAATAAGAAATATTACAATTATATTCTGGACTTAATGATAACTTTCTATTCATTCTTCAATCAAAATGAAAAAAACTATTGATTCTGATTTCTTACACATATTTACAAATCAGTTTATGATTCCTTATTTAAAAGTTTATTCTTTTTTCTAATACACAATTTACCTCATGCTTTTCAATCACAAATTCATCAAAAATGCTAATATTTATGTTGTCTTTTATTTTAGATAGACCTAAAAAGGTGTAATCATGTGCTGGAGAGCTGAAACAAACAACAAATATTTGAAATGAAATTTAAAAGAGTTATATTTTTCTACTTTAAACATATACACATTAAAAATAATAGTAAAATATTCATAATAATGCTATTAAACTATATACTGTGCTATATAGAAACTGTGAATCTTTTGTACAATTGCATACATATGTTTCCATTTGAAACTCTGAAATCATATCTAAATTAGAAAATATTGAACTTATTTGTGTGAATTTAAATCATTTGCATAATTATAAAGTTGACTAAATGGCATTTGCAATAAAATTTCAATTTAACAAAGATAATCTTGAATCAATGATCTACTGTTTTAATTGACTCTCAATTGAAAGGATATAGCACAATTACATAATTAGGAAAATGATAAACTGATGCCAATGATACAAGTTTAGATTTATCCAAACATCAAATATAACATACTGTTCCCTGAATGATCTGTTAAACCGAGGTTTTATTGTTTTCCTATTTTCTTTATACAGCAAATCCCTCATAACATTCAGGTAATAAATAAGAAATCATTGTTTTAGGATCATGTTCCACTATATGCAGATAATGTACAACTGAGATCCAATGTCTAAGAAAATGGAACAGATTGCAGTGCAAGAAGTATTTGGATACCGGAGACATGGAATTTTTACTGAGTAATTTAAATGCCACATTCAACTTACTAAAACAAACTTTATTAAAGTTGAAATGTTAACTCACTTAAAATCAACTTGAAGTTCTTCATTCCAGCATGGATGAGAGCCATCTGCAGTGCTAGTCTGATAAACTGTTTTCTGAAATGTAACTTCTACAAAAGGATGCACAGTCACCTAAAACAGAGCAAATGTTTTACCATATTAAAAGAGAAAGGAAGAACAGTTAGTAAAGTTGAATAACCTCTTTCTCTTCACACTGTGGACAGTATAAAAAGCAGTTATTACTTAAACACAAAACTACTCTGTTTCTACTTATGCTAAAACAATTCGCAAAATACGGTAAGGTACAGAAAGAATGCAAAGTGCAGCGGCCAGTGTTCTTTCTAACCTTTTAAACAGAGTTCACTCACAGTAACCAGGAAGGAGGAGGAAGAAGGATTTACAATGAAGCAGTTAACCAACATTCCAAGTCACTGCCTCTTATATTGGAGAATGCATTGGTAGGATTTTTTTTTTCTTCATAACCCTGGATCTGATCTGCCCCTTTTTAAAGTCAAGACTTCTTTTGCTTTCTTTCCCCACCACACACACACAATTCCATCCAGTTCTGTTTTCAGATAAATATTGTCCTAATGGAGAGACAAGTTGTAAAAATTCTTGAGCCCCTTTTCCGAACTTTAATAATGCAGTGGGTTATTCTATATAAAAATAACCCACCCATCTGTTCCTATTCTCGTCATAACAATAACTCTTTTTTTTTGGGGGGGGGGGGAGTAAATTCAAAGAGAGAGTGCCTGGCCCAAAGTCACCCACATGGTCTTGATGCCTAAGGGAGGATGACAACCACAGCCTCTAATTTCTAATCAAGACACTACTGCCCCAAGTAGTGTATTATGTCAAATGCATTCAAGGATTGTTCTTCTCATCTATTTATTTCTAATTCATCAAATTCATTTTCACTTTGACAGTTTAAGTTTTCCTTAAATTCTCACAGTTCAATTATAAAGTGAATAATTTATTTTTTTAATACAGGGATCAGTGCTCAGATTTCCTTGGTACTTTGGTCTGACCATATCACAATTTCCAGATGTTTTCAGTGCTTTTCTCCATAAATTATAATTAGTTATAGTAATTTCATTTTTTATGTACATATAATTATGCACTACAAATACAATATCAAAAATTAATAAAAAATAAAGTAAAATTCAGTTGAAAATGGCAACTAGAAAGTACCTGAAGGGCCCATAACGTTTCAATAATCATTAAAGTCTGTATGCAAATATTAATATAGATAAAATAGAAAAATTTAAGTGTACATAAAAACTTTATACAAGTGCTTTGTAGGTAGCCCAGGATTCTGACACCCAAACGTGAGTAAATATTATAGCCACGTGTTTTTATATAGAAAATAAAATAAGAATAAAAGTTCACCCTTGTCTTGCTGTAAAAACAGTTACTTTATACATGTTAAAATACATTTTTAAAAGTTCCCTAAAGCTTTCATTAAAACCTCAATATTTAATCCAGATCCAAACTACAAATTTCATAACCACAAATTTTATTTTCTTCTACAGTCTTTTACATTTTGCATTTTCTTAAGACATGTAAAGGAATTGACTTCACATCTTCTAGTGAGATGGCCTTAATAAATACTATCCAGCTAAGGATATTCTTTTATGTTCCTAGATATTGTATTTTTGCTGGCTGCTTCCAAACCGCATATGCCCCCATAATGAAAACTTTAAAATCCATCTATTGAATTACATGCACGTTAGCAAACTAATCCAAGGGCCTGAAAACAGAAAAGGGTTAGGATCAATTAAAAGGTCTTCATTTATTCAAAGTAGTATTTTAAAGCAATTGGCTGTTTTGCCAAGTGTCAAGATAATGACCAGGTGTCCAGGCAATAGGTTCTTTTAGATCAAACATATCAGGAAAAAAAGAAAGTTTAAACATTATTATTAATTTAAATAAATGGATTTAAAGGCATAAGATAGAAATCATACGTAATCTCTTACAAGCTGTCAGGAGCTTCTTAATAATACAGCAGAGATACTCAAATGGGATTAATTTCCACAGTGCTCTGCTCTAGATTCTGTGTAGTAGCTCCCAGGTTAAAGGTCAATACTAGGGTTTTTATTAAAACCCATTATTATGACTTCATGGCCCTGCTTTTATGGTCATAAGCCTGCAAGGCTTGACCTTGACCACGTGGCATATGACTCTGGGATTAAGAAAAGCTTTGTGGCTATAGTATGTGAGATTTGCACCTCCCACACATACCTTCTTTATTTAGCAAACAAAAGTGAGAAACAAGAAACTTAGCTCAAAATGAGCTCTAAACTTTTAGACGTTTCTTAATATTAAGGGGAAATCAAAACTCCTAGAAATATAATGTTCTTCCACATTGCTACCACACCACCATATAGATTTATTATTGCTTTTTTCAAGGCTTAGGAAAATGCTTATATACATACAGAGAAAAATGGAACATATTTTAAAAGGAAAAAAAACATAATTACCTCGGAGAGAAGATCGGCAGCATAGGCTGAACTACCTAATGGAATATGTCTGCCTCGGGACATGCGATTTGGTAAGTATGATGGTGAATAAGTAACTGCAACTCTAAGAATATTAAAATAAAATATATATGTTTCAGCCAATTTTTCTCATTAAAATGCACCACAACCCCCTGTCTATTAATGCATAATAATAGGTTGACTGTTAATCTAAAGAAAATCTGAGTAAAAGTTGTAACTCAAATTTGCTGATACAAGGCAGTGCACTAAGGGGGCATGATAAAATATAAGTTGGCATGACATTTTTAGAAAAGTCTAATCAGAAGAGTCACATCAGCAAAGTTTTCATTTTGTTGCTAAATATGGATATTGCTAATAGATTGTTTCAATTGCTATCAATCAAAGATTATTTTCTACTATAACTTCATTCTCTCTTAACGCATTGTAGCAATAAATTGTATAGAAATTTCAGGAAATACAGGTGTTATATAAAGGCAAACTATTACCTAGATACTCTTCCCCTGTAAACAAGGCAACTGAAAAATATGTCACATATTCATTCAGAAGAAATGTTCATGTATTGAAACATGATTTACATTCTTATGGTTCCATTTCATATATTTTCTCATGATTAGAAATTGCATCATTTATTTAGGGCTAGTAAATGCATTAATATAAATATTATTTGATACAAGTTTTCTTTCTAGTTAGAAAAAAAAGGAAGGAGTATTCTCCTTGAGTGTGCAGATAGGGTTCCTACCCAAATTATTGAAGCTTTCTGAATGATGTTTGGCTCTAGCACAGAATCTGTATGTGGGGCAACACAAATAATATTGTTTAGAGGAGGTTACTGGGTGCAGTCAAACATATCCACCAAAATAATATAGACAATAGGGAAAAGACGAGTGAGCATAAATAGGTTTGCTGATTCATTCATTCCTCTATCAATGCAAAGGAGCTGGTAATTGGACAGTATTGGACAGTAGTGTAGTAAGTGCTATTCTTTTGGACATATGTGTTTCTTATTTCAAAATAACAGACAACTTCTGAAATTAAGCTTCATACTCAGAGTGTGTTATGGAAATTGTAAAAAAAAACAACGATGTGAGAACTGTAGCAAAGGGAAAGAAAAGTCATGATATGTCATGTGACCTACCATGACAACATGAGTTTGTCACCCCTGATCTACAGTTAATCATGCACACCACAAGATAATCTGCAGCTATTGTAGATTACCGAATTATTGTTTTATTATAATATCAATGAACAGCCAGTATTTTACTATATTATTAAAAAAAACTTGTTTGTATTCATTGAATGTTGCGCCTACTTAGATGCTGAGGCCTTTCTTGCAGGAATATTGTATGCTCTCAATATTCTGATAAGAAGCTTAACATCTCCATCCGAGACTGCCTGGGCTGCAACCTTTCGTCTCTCTTTCCTTTGTGGTTTCAGATGTCTTCTGCGTTCACTTAGCTTGAAAATTGCATTACTCAATTGGCTAGAATAAATGAAGAAATAAAGTTATTTTGATCAGACTGAAAAAGTCAAGTTGATGGCTGCAGCACCACAATCAAAGCCCTTTTGTATACGTGTTGACTTCACATGCACATATAAAAGGTGGGGGCATCAATCACATGGCTGCAACTGTCTTCTTTACCCTCTCCCAGTGGATGCTGCTGGTTCCAATTCATGTAGAAGCCCTTATGTGTACCCAAAAGGTTTTTATTATTGCAGTTTACCTGCTAATAACAGGCTGTTCATTGATGTCATAGTGTAAATGATACTACAGCAGGGAATGGCATTTACCACTTCTTAAATCTTGAAATATATGCACAATTGGTTTTATAAAAGAATTTTATTTCATATATTTTATACTACTTACCAGACACCACAAAGCATATAATGTTGTAAAAACTATATTTGTTCTAGTGTTTCAATAATAAATGAGATATTTCAGACTATTTTTTTAACCTTTCAGTTTCATGTAGTAAGAAGTCTTTTTAGAATTTTATATTGTTCATATTAAGCATTTGTACCCACCCTGGGCCATTTTAAAATAAGTTGTTTAAATTTGCCTACCTCATTGATATAATTTCTTCATAATCACTCACAAGATCTGATAAATTAAATTTGTGCCTAATGGTCAAAATTTGTTTTCCAACTTGATTTCGCATCTAAAAAAACATAGTTAAAAAAAAGCATAAATTCTCTGCAAAATTTAATCAACATGAGTTTAAGCCAGAAACAAAATGTATTTAGATGTTGAGGGCTCCTTGGTATTCTTTCAGCTTGGTTGTTTCCTTGCAGGCACTTCATTACCAAAACTAGGTAATATCATTAGTGCTAGCACAGATGGGTGCTTTAAACCATCACACTAGCACCATTGAGGTTACCAAGTTTGAATAATGAAATGTCTGCATGAAAACAAGCAAGCTTAGAGACCCTGAACTACAAATATTCTCTTTATTAGTATTTAGATATCAATGCTTTGGAAGTGCCAGCAGAAATCAATACATTTAGAGTGAATTATCTAGTGCAGGCATTGCTTTAAAGCAGATAGAAGTTTGAGTAAGCATTTTGCAAAAAATGCATATTGCCCTTGGGGATCCATGCCTGATCAGATCCTAAATAAGGAAACAAATGATTTTTAGAACAAAAAAGTGTTTGTTTTTAGAGGGAGATATAAATTTTATTTCATTATATTTGGTAGCAAAATCCTTCCTCTTCTGTATTAAATTATGTCAGAAATTAAATGTCTTTGTGAGCAAGAATAACCACCTGCAAGCAGGATTTTGTTCAATTCACATGCATCCTTTCTGCTCTTAAAAGTAGACCTCAAAGTAGGCTTTATATTTATTATATTCATTAAAATTAAATTAGTAAAAAAAGCAACATCTTATTAGAAGCAATAATTTGATACAATTTCCATTTTCCAGAACAAGACTAGACTGAATGTTGCAAAAACAAAGCAAGATAAGATATAAATTTCAGTATAAATTATATTGTGCTTTATTTTTTTATTCAGTACAATTATATTCAGTACAATACAATTTGTACTGAAATTTAGGGAATGACAGGAATGATGAATTCTTGTGTTGGGCCAGCACAACTGGATTAATTCTTGTGTGCAAGATAAGTGCTTGAGATAAAGAAACCAAAACATCTTATTATATGTAAGATATAATAGGTCTGTGTCTAATCCTAATTGGAACACACAGTTCTGAGGAAGGTGTGTGTTTGTATTAAAATACCCAAATTCAAGTGAGATTCTACCCAATAGTATATTTAATATATAATGTAACAAGTATTTTGTATGGTTAAGCATGGTTCTGTCCTTTTCCTACTTCTTTTTAATCTCTATATATATGGTACAAATTTTCAAAGCAGGAAAAAGAAATCTATTACTTTAATTTAGGCTTGTGATATGATCATTATTTGAAATGTTCCTTAATGTCTGAATAGAGATCTACCAGCTTGGATGCTGTTTTAAATATTATTTAATAATTAACTATGAGAAGAGTAAGTTCTAATGTTTGGACATTAGTTGGTTTATTTTTGTCAGCTTCAGTGAGATGGCTTATCCATTAGAAAAGGCATAAAGAAAAGACTGATAAGATATTTAATTTTTTTAAAATGATATACTAATTTCATATTAGTTTCATATCTTTAAAATCAGTTATGGAGTGGGAGGTTACTGATTTATGTGGTTTATTAGAATTTTAAATAATTGGACTAAGGTAATAGTTTCCCTCTTTTCTAAAATTTAAACTCTTTTAAAAAAAGAAACAGATACTAGTCTCCTTGTTCTCCTTTTTGGTTTTCTAACTTTCTTAAATATCTAGCTTTATCAAATTTCTGCAGATTATTTTCAGTTACTGTATAATTTGACTCATGGTCATTTTTAAAATCTAGCCTTTATGTCATATCTCCACCACTGGATCTCAGTACATTTGCCAATGAAAAAAGCCCCTTCTGGTATTTAACATGAAAAAAAAACACATTTGGAAAAATAATTAAATCTATTCTTCAAGCTTGTTTGGCTGTATTAAGAATACAGTGAATGACCTCTGGTGTTTTGGATGGGTAATTTTTCAAAATAGCATCTAACTTCGTTGCAATACATTTCCCTTAACTTTGATTGTTTGGGATTTGTTTAATGCTTTGCTTTCACTTGCAGATTATAGTGACAAAGTTTACAGAGCTCTAATTAAAGAACATATTATCTTTAAACGAAAATATAATCATATGTATTTTCAATATCTTCTTATTTTTAGGTTAAAACTAAATGTACAATTTTAAATCGAATTATTTAAATTAGTTTTAAATGCAGTATTTGTAGAAACATATTTTCTGTTATGGCTTTATATAGTCTTGTTTGGTCTATGATCAATGGCTGACATAATAAAGTTGTACTGCATTATACTAAATTAAAGTGAAAAATGTGAGGCTTTATATGAATAGGAATTCTCACTTTGTGCACAAGATTTAAATGAATGTATTTTATACTGTTTAATACGCAGATTTTGTATTAACAATATAACTGCAATGCATTACTCTAAGCAATTTTTGTGTTGATATAGCAATGTTACTTATTTTATTTCTGTTTCACATGATTTATGGATGGATTTAAATCATGACTCTCTGAGAAACTGTCTGTATTTTGATGTTGATGTTATTACAGCAATTATATCCTAAGCAGCATATACTTCAGAAAAATATACATATATAACATTAGAAGACTCTTTCTATAGAGGGACAATTGAAAGCATCCTGTCATATCATTACTCTGTGGTTTGGAAGTATTACTGTTTGAGATAGGAAGGCTGTGCAGAGACTGGTGAGGATAGCAGAAAAGATTGTTGGATGTTCATTTCCTTCTATTCAGGACATGACATATAAGTGTTGCTTAACCAGGGTCTGGAGGATTGTCATGGTCACTACACAACTTCTCCATGACCAGTTTTCTTTGTTACCTTCTGGGAAGAGGCTTCATGCAGAACAACTAGCTTTGTACGATATACTATCAACCAGGGGTGGGATTCTACTGGTTCGGTCTGGTTCAGTAGACCCGGTTGTTACAATTCTGCACAGTTCGGAGAACCAGCAAATTGTGCCCCTGGCTGGCCCTGCCCCTCTCTGCCTGCCCCTCCCTCCCCATCCAGTTTTTATCATGCATGCGCAACACTGCATGCATGCACAACATCACTCTGCATTCTCCCATGCCCACCCCGCCCTGACCAGTCACTCCTTACAGGATTTTTTTCCTCCCAACGATCAGCTGTTCCAACAATCAGCTGTGCCAGGATCTCCCTTGCTGTCTTACTGTTTCGCCCAGGAGGCTTCCCTGAGGCCCAGGAAGCAAAAAGGGACATGTGAAGGGGGGGTGCCCCGCACACTCCATTTTTTGCCTCCTGGGCCTCAGGGAAGCCTCCTGGGAGCAAAAATGGCCTTCCAGGAAGCTTCCTTGAGACACAGGAGGCAAAATAAATGGAGCCCGGGGAGGGCTGCAAAAAAAAACCCCATACCCACCCAGTCACATGACGACGCCCACCTAGCCATGTTCACCTAGCCATGCCCACAGAACCAGTAGTAAAAATATTTGCATCCCACCCCTGGAATCAACCTTGTCAACTCTCAAGACTCTTTTTTCTGCTATGTATTCAAAATGGAGTGTGATTAGTTTTAGTGTGTATGTGTGTATAGCATATGTATATGTGTCTGCATATATGTGTACGATTATATATTTATTTACTTTTGAGAGTGGACATCAGAATTTAATTTGTTAATGTGCACCAATGTGTTCACAAAAAAAGGTGACAATAAAGGTTAACTTATCTTAAGACAACTGTCCTTAAGTTTGATAGAAATGGAATACTACATTGTTTTATTTTCAGTGCAATAAATAGTTTCCAGCCATTCATTTTCTAATATATGAAAACTGTCATACCATCCTAACAAAGTTGGCAGAACTATTTCTTTGTGCAGAAATAGGATCCATATCTGTCATACACATGTCCTTTTCCAATTGGCCTCCATGTTCCTGAAAAAAAGTGGATTGTTTTTATCAATTAAAAGTCACACTAGCCTGTTCAACCAAAAGATAGCATCTAAGTCACAATATTTATATTCTACCATCTTTAAAGATATAGATTTTTGTGGTCTTAAATAACAATTATTTAGCATTTAGAGTAATACTGTCACCTCATAAATCATTCTATGCCTGTTTCTGAGTTGCCATAAGAAGGAGGGGGGAAGGCCTGAGGGAGCAGTGTGGCTGATGAAGGCCAGAAGCACATTCCATGCTTATTTTGTGGAGATTGTAGCCTAGGGTACTGGATCTTCTGCCCCCAAAAATCCTTCATTGGAGACTGTGATTGATGACACCCAGCCTATGAATTTGTTTTGTTGGAGAATCTGATTTATCACACAAACCAGGGGGGGGTGGAGGGAAACAGGATCATAGGTGATAGTAAATTACATGTCTCAGAGTTCGCTTCATACAGGTTAGCGCCAGACATGTTGCTCCTAATAAATCTTTTTGATTCTTTTGAAGCTTGGCTCGAGGCTCATGATTTAATTAGGACAATCTTCAGAATCCTGACAAGTACTTTCTATTCATTTCGTATAGGGATATCTACATATTACTATAGAAATCTAATATTTTAGTACCTCATTTTTGCTTGTATATAATTTAAGTATTTGAAAATGTCCCAACACTTGTTAACCATGTAATTCTTATGACACTTCTTAATATGAGGATTGAATATAGAATGAATAAATAGTGTAACTAATGCAAGCAAGGTGCAGGAAAAAACAAGCAAAAGGAACCTATGTTGATCCAGGAGAAAAACTGAATTTGTAAAAAGCTTCTGTTTTTTTTCCCAACTCCCCAATCTATTTGTTTACCTAACACTGTGATTCTTTTAAATGCTCAGCTGTGTATGTGGTGTTGCACATATACAAAGCCATAATCAGAAACCCTCCAAAGAAGCTTGGATGTGTCTCCCAACTTCCCTTAGCTGCTATGGCCTCACTGAGAACCAGGCCAACATCAACTACCTTAGGCATTGGAAGAGGTAAAAGTAGAACATTGTGTAAAAGGAAAATGTAAAATTAAACTTTATTCTTAAAGTAAAATACCTGAAAAATTGTGTCTGGAATTTCTTTGTCAAAGAGTGGAATTTGCTGAAAACAGTAGAAGCCTAACTGTCCTAAATTCCTAAGCTGTAATAGCCGGAAACGTTTGCAATTTTGAATATCTTCTGCAATATCAAAGTCAAATTCTTGCAGTTGTTCAAGGCGAAAATGTTTTGAATCACTTTTCTCCTGAGATTGTGCATACTATTAGAAAATAATAAATATAAATTGGGATAATTTTGCTAAATACAACCAATAAATACAAAAACATTACTGCTATGAACATTGCTCATAAGCTGAAGAGGAGTAAATAAAATGAAATCTGCAAAGATTTTGCCGCTAAATAAACATAAAGAGAGCTAAATTGTTTTGGAAAAACAAAGTTATTCAGAAAATAATTGACTTTTTTCTTTAAAATTTTTTGATACGTATGTATGGAAACAGTAGAACTGTTGCTAAATGCTATGAAAACTTTTGTTGGCAAACAAAAGTCATCTTCTAAAAACATAACTAAGTAGATGCATCTAGGAATTCAAAGCAAGATACTCACAGTTTCAAACATCTGCTACATTTTATAATTATAGTGTTTCTAGTTAATATCTACAAATGCGTATTTATTCTTCCATTTAATTTATTTTATAGCCACCTAAGCTATAAACTAATCACTACAAGTATTTTGAGTGTCAATTTCATAAGTCACATTATATGTACAACTGCTTCCACACCAGTCTTGTGTCTATTGCCCATCAATTTCAATTGGTAACTAAAATGTCCTGAATTATGAAAGAAAAACTCTCCTTTTGTTTCTGCTCACGCTGTAAAGTTTTGTTTTGTCAAATGTCTATAAACTCTACTTGTACTCTCATGTTTGTTAAGGAGGAATCAAAGCTACAATGAAACAAGTTGGATAAAGGACAAAAAGTTGTAAACTTGGTTCTTATAAAATTAATACATAAGCAATAGGATCATAAAGAGTAAAAAAGGAACAACATATTCAGACTTTTTAGTTATCAAAAATTATTACAAAATCCTGATTTAGTTAAAGTCCTTAATTTATTATTCAGAATTAAAGAAGATTCTATTACTTAACATTTACTACACAGTTTTTCAGAGAATTTGAAACTTCATTACAGAAATGTCATCATTACCATAATTAATTCAAACAAATCTGAGTAGTAAGGATCATTCGGGTCAATACTTATGTCTTTTGCCCAGTCAATTAGTTTTTGGATATCAGAATGCCACCAAATTCCTGTCCCTTTTCCTGAATTGATGTTCCTTGGTATGCTAAAAAAAAAAGCTTAATATGGAATAACAGTCTCATTATGATGCCACAATAGGAAAAAAGAAATCTTTGTGAAAGAATATAGATTTATTTTGCCAGTTTAAAATAGTCACTGCATATGAACTGCAAGATGATTCCAAGACTTTAAATTATACACTCAGTGCTACTAATTTAAGGATGTAGAAATGGTCCTTAAATCATAAGAGTGTGGGAAACATCCTTAAAAGTCAGTAGGGTTATATACCTGAAATGTAAGCTACTGACAGCAATATTGTGCTGCACCTAAAAGAATTTAAGAAAGTTATAATTACTGGGAATAAAAGTGTATACCTCTTAGCTTTAGCCAAGATCTAAATTTATGGATGATTTTAGGAAACCTTTGTAGCAATAATAGCTATGACAATAAGCTGAACATGTAAATTGCATTGGTAATATTGGTGTGTCCTCATTCTGAGAAGAAACTGCAATCTAGACTCTGGTGTAGGCCCAAAGTGGGAAAATTTCATGTCAGGCCCATCTTAAAGCTCAAGGACCACTGGCCCTCCAATGATGTCTATTAAGCATAAAGCAAATTAATATATGACATGCTTACAACTGGCCATCCATGATAGATTCCTAGCTAGTTATCTGGAGACAGGTTATGCCATAGAAAGAAGATTAGTAATATATGTCATCTATGTCCAGGATCTATGCAGTACAAAAACTTAATGCCAACATTTCCCCACTTTCTGAGCAAACTCTGAAGTGCATTACAGAGTCTTCACTCACCAGTCACTCATTCAGTGATGATTTGAATTTGCAATGGCACTGAAAATAGAGATTTACGACTGATTCGTGAAATCATATGATTGCAATTCAGGTGCTTGACAAACCATGCACATTCACAATGATTGCAATTCCCCATGGTCATGTGATCACTATTTACAAAGTCAATGAGGAAGCTGGCAAGAAGTCTCAGTCACACATCAATTTAATGATCTGCACTGATCTCATTAATGACTGCAACTAGAACTGGCATTGTAAATTAGTGTGATAATGTAATATCGCACTTAGTGACTGCTTAATAACTTGTTTAATAACAGATTTGCCAATCCCTATTTTGGTTGGTGACTATCTGTATATAAATATGCTTCCTCCATGCCTAGTTAATTGGACTGGGTCATGAGAAGCTATGAGTTTTCAGAATTCCAATAAAATTAATAATAATAAAATGGTTCTTGGAATGGAGAGGGGTAGGAGACTTGTAGAAATAGCTAAGCATGGCTGTGCTAAGCCAAAGCCTGCAATTTGTAACTACTTCAAACTGGGGTGCAGAAGTAACACAGATATATGCAACTAGATTAGCTTCATTCTATCATCCTGGTTTCAAAATATAGTTCACATGATTACTGAGGCAAAACAAAAACAGATATTTCCTTAATTTATGAAAATACACAAGCTATTTTTATGAAGACTTAGAACTCTTAGATTCCTTCCAAGACAAGGAAAAGAGATGCACGGCATGGTAGTTTGTGCATTGCAGGGAAAAAACAGATTGTATAGATATTTTTTTACAAAAGCAAACAGTGAAAATAATACATAAATATTATCACCTGTTGGAAGAAATATATGCTTGTTGAATAGTAGGAGCCAAAGGAATTCCCTTGTCACTAACTGTCCAAGATAAAGAATACATTAATTTTCCTGATGTCATAATGCATAATTCTTCTGTTTGATTTTCACCAAGAAAAAAAGGAACATCTACAATATAAACATAAACAAACACTATTGCAACACCAGATTTTTATCTCACTGTAAATGCCACATATTCATTGGTATATGTAACTTTTAGGTGCTAACTTCTGAGACTAACAAATAGGCTGCTCAATTTCTAATGACAAATTTTGGAGCTTAAAATTAGGGCCAAATTAGTCACAATAAAATGGATCTGGCTGATAAAAATAGGTATATGTGCATCTGCTTTTAAATGGTTCAGAAAAACAAAGACCCTTCACCTCACCAATCATAGCCTTATAGTCTGTTCCCACACATGTTTGAAATATACTTTAGCTTGCAATGAAAACATGAGGACCACTAATTTACTAAGGTTTCACGTGATTATTTGAGATATATCACTAAAAATAATGGGAATTAAAAAAACCAAATCATTTCAAAAGGACAGCTTTGAAAATAATTTTAAATAATTTAGGGAGAAAAGTGTTACATTTGGAAACTGTTACAAGCGGTTTTTAAAAATGTATCTGAACCTAAATACTATATATTATGCTTGACTTCAGCCTTAGCTATGTTTTCAGCAATGCTAGCCTTTCACAGAAGCTGCTTCTTCTTTACAGTTCTCCATTGCATGACAAGGTCATTATAGAAAACAGTGCAAAGCAGCAGCATCTCTGTAAGAAGCCCAAAGTTGCTGTGAATGAACAAATTATTTTTACCAAGGCAAAAAAGGCAAAACTCAGAGGCATCTTTTTCAAAATTATACTTAATCCTTCTCTGCCTCTAAAATTAACACCAAATAATTCTTTTGTTTTGTATTTAAAATTTGGAGAGAAAAAAAAACCAGGGAAACTGAAAATCTGCCTTGTAAAAACATGTAGTGAAACAGAGTAAATAATTTGAAGAAATACTACTGTAGTAACTTACTGCTTCCCACTGCTCCATCTGAAGGTTTAACTTGCTGTTCACAGCTAAACTGGACTTCATCCAAAACATCCTTGCTTTTCAAAATACAGTTATTAGGAAGAGGTAAGTACACTTTGGCCAACAACATGTTTTTATTTGATTCCATAATCTACAATATATCATATAATATAAAACAATCTGTGTTAGAGAAGAATTGAAACTAATTAACCAAAGTAAAAAAGAAGAAAAAGCCACAATAAAAATATTTTATATAAATAAGATTAATATTATAAATACATGTATCTAGATCTAAAAGATTATTTTTTCATGGGTTGCTTGTACATAAGCAGAGATAATCTACTATAATGAGTGAGTTTTTGGAAAGATCAAGGTTCCCATCTTCCCAGTTTGCTAAGTAGCTTTGGGTAATTTGTTTTCCTTCATTCCAACCTATGTCAAGGGGTGGTGGTGGTTTTGAAGAATAAAATTAGAAAAGATTGCCATGTATATTGACTTTGGTTCTCAAAAAATATATAAAAATAGAACAATCAGAGAAAGAAAGCAAAATAGAATGCAATCAATAATAAATAAATAATATCTGGGGCCAATCACTTTTTCAGACAGAGGGCAGCATTGCATGATTTTACACTATAACGAAGGCACAATGTTGTAAAAACTAAATAAATTAAAATGTAAACAAAATCAATGGTTTGAAATCACGTGTTAACAAAAAAATGCACAGGGCATAGCTACCACATGAGATTCTGCCCTTTTTGAATGGGTTATTTTTAATTATGAAGATTGGTGGATACCATATAAGAACACCATAGATATTGTAATGTCAGTCTCCAATGTACATTTGTAAAAGAACTGGCCTAATCTCCTGGAATGTATAGGTTACTAATCACAGCACATTACAGGTAGTCCTCAGCTTATGACCACAATTGAGCCTAAAATTTATGTTGTTAAGTAGAAATTTGTTAAGCAAATCTTGCTCCATTTTACAACTTTTCTTGCCCCATTTGTTAAATGAATCATTGCAGTTGATAGTTAGTAATGCAGTTATTAAGTGAATCTGATTTCCCCATTGAGTGCTTGTCAGAAGGTTGCAGAAAGTAATCACATGACCCCAGAACACTGCAACAGTCATAAATGTGGATCAGTTGTCAAGCATTCAAATGTAAATCATGTGACCATGGAGATGCTATAACAATCATAAGTGTGAAAAATGGTCAATGGACTTTTTTCGATATCATTGTAACTTCAAATAGTCACTAAGCAAGCTATTGCAAGTTGAAGACTACCAGTATCTTTTCAAACGGTATTGAGCACATAGTAAGTTCATTCAACAAGCATGTCAACTACATGCTCATTCCAATATAAAATAATTAAATATAAAAATTCCCTCTCAAAATAATAGGAACAGAACAATGTCCAATTAGATGAAGGATTTGTAAAGAGAAGATTATTAGATTTCAGATGCAATATTTTGCAACTGCATAGATACCTCTAGTTGAAGGGATTCAGACCAGTTTAAAATCTGAATTCTAAAATGTTGTTGGAGTATAACTTTAAAATCGTCACGAAGAGGGAAGTCTGGAGTACAAGAGACCAATTTATTATTGTAATATATTTTAATAAAATATTTCTCCATTTTGACCCTTTCTCTTCTGTTCTGTTCTACACTAAAAATAAACAAATTAAAGTTAATATTTTATTTAACCATACAGTCACACAAAAGAAACTACACATAAATTTCTGCAGAAAAAATTGAAGCGTGCATTTAAAGGTAGTCCTTGACTTACGAACACAATTGAGCCCAGAATTTATGTTGCTAATGAGAAAGTGAGCTTTGCCCCATTTTAAGACTCTTTGTTAAGCAAACCACTGCAGTTGTTAAATTAGTAACATGGTTGTTAAGTGAATCTGGCTTCCCTATTGACTTTGCTTGTCAGATGGTTGCAAAAAGGGTTCATATCATCCCAGGACAGTGCAACGGTCATAAATATGAACCAGTTGTCAAGCATCTGAATGTAAATCATGACCATGGGGATGCTGCAATAGTCATAAGTTTAAAAAATGGTCATAAGTCACTTTGTTCAGTGTCACCGTAACTTCAAACAGTCACTAAGTGAAGTCGAGGACTACCTATATACATTTGCTAGACTGAGGTTCCGACCATTAAAACAATGTGTACAATGTTAATGTTACAATGTATTCCAAATAAAACTTATAGTTAAGGTTTAAATTTTCAGTCTGAATTTCAATCCAATTTTGGCACAGGGACACTTTGGTCATCCTATCCAGACAGGGCAGTGTGATTTAGTTAATATTCCTGGTTTTGATACATGTGGTCCTCAGATTATAACTGCAATTGGGACCAGAATTGCCATCACTAAGTGATGCAGTTGAAAAGTACAATGTCATGTGACTGCTTTGCTTAGTGATGCAATCCTGGGCAATCCCAGTTGCGATTGCAATCCCAAAACATATGGATCATTAAGCAGAAAGAGGTGAGAATCCAAGGTAAAGGTGCACGGGGTTGCTGCAAGGGAGTGGAAGGCTGCCACAGGGGAGGCCTGGGAGGGCCAACAGAAGCTACAGGTGGGCAGACAGCTTACCCTGGTGGGAAAAAGAGCAGAAATGACTTATTTGAGTGATTTGCAACCTTCCCTGACAAATTTCCCACTGACTTTGTTTATGAGAAGCTGGCACAGCAGGTTGCAAATGGCGATCAAGTGACAATGGTGTTATATTTGTGAGTTGGGCACCTGAGTTACCCAGATTAGAATCATGTGAATACAGTGGTGCTATGATGGCCTGAACTTCAGAGATTAGAATGCAGTATTGCAGGCTATTTCTGCTGACTTTCAGCAGTTTAATTCTCACTGGCTCAAGATTGACTCAGTCTTCCATCCTTCTGAGGTCAGTAAAATGAAGACCCAGATTGTTGGGGGCAATATACTGACTCTGTAAACTGCTTAGGGAGGGCTGTAAAGATATATGAAGCGCTACATAAATCTAATTGCTATTGCTATGTCCATTTTGAACAGTCACTGAACAAATGGACATAAGCCGAGGACTAGATGAACTATTAACCACTGTCTTCTTCTAGAGAGCTTGAATGAACTTTAGTTCAGGTGGGCTGCTCAGGTGCTACTAGAAGGTGATACCAAAAAAAGACCTATTCTATAGCAGATTGCAATATAAAGTGGGGTAAGGGGGGAAAGAAGCCATTTTATTTACAGATGCCAAAGAATACATCTGCATTTTTTAAAAAAATTAGTCATTGAAAAGTGAAACAAAGTGGAAAAAATGTGCAACTCACAGTGGGCATAATTTTGCTGGTGTTATTTCTGATATAAAGGTCATATGAGGGATGAAAAGTGTTTTCTTTCTTTCGGTAAGGTCTGTTACAGGTTGAGACGTAGAAACTGAGTCCAAAGAATCCTAGAATTCAATAATGTTTTGATAATAATCAATATTCCCTCAAACAATAATATCTGAATTTGTACTGCTATTTTTCAAATGCATTTTGTATAAATTTCTACACAGGTTTACTGACCTCACAACAGTTTATTGTTCCTTTTCTTACCTCTTTTTCATCATCTTCTGATATTTTAGTTAGATATTCATCCAATTCAGAATTATGAGTTTGTCTTGAATATGAAAAAATAGAAAAATAAACAATAGACCTTCAGGAAGTCAACCATGGTTACCAGGTAACATATTACTTTCTCCTCTCATTTTTAATAAGGAGGGAGAACGCAATTAAGGATGGAAAAGTGGAGAGTTTTTTCACTGTCCTTCATACCCATTGTAATAAATTGCAGCTTCTAATGATAATTCTGAATTTAAAAATGCCAGCTATCAAGAGAAAGTCCAAGGTAAAATATAGTCCAAGGTAAAATATAAACTTGATTAATTATTTAATACTATCACTAAATTATAGTCTGGGAAACAGCAGTATATGATTAACATATTGCTGCAGTTGCTTCAGGCTCTAAATGGCATTTGGTGATAGCAAATGTCCACTTCTATAAAATTTTGTATCACGTTATATTCTAGCAATAAACAGTTGGATTTTCCAGTAATGTTTCAAAGCCCCAAAATTCAACTCTGCATGGCCGGTTCATGAATATAATTTAATGCAAAATGAAGAAACGCGAATTTGCATCTTCTACAATTTATTATTCAGTGGTATTTTTAATTTTTAGTATTTTACTTGACCTTCTTCTTCCCAACACCCCTGTGAGATCAAGTAGCCCAAAACAACCCAATTAGTTGGACTCTCCCTAATCTTTGTCCATTGTTTTAAATAGCACCACTTTGGCTCTATCAGTTCTCTCAATCTTTGTATTGCGTATCTAGGAAGGACACTTAAAACTCAGAAAACCTTACTTGGTTAAAAGTGGTTTGCTATTCCATCTAAATCAACATACTACAATTAGCCTTAATTATGGCTTATAAAATTAAATTATGAAACAAGCCTAAACCATAGACTAAATCATAATATTCCAAAACACCTTCAATATTCAGATATTATGTGAATAAAAATTAGCAGCTATTTATATTCTGTTTCTACTGAGCTTTCTGGAAATTTCTCTTCGTATTAGGCTAAATGCAGATTTTATGTTTTCTAGGCTTCTTCTTTGTTAATTTTAAAGATACATATTTTTTTCCAAGATAATTGAATATTACTTGGACGTTGCCATTGCCATGATATTACTTTTCAGAGAGAATTAATTTACAAATTCTAATTGCATTGTGATTGTCTTATACCTTTGAAATTGAATCTTTATAGTTGTACTGGTAAAGCCTTGTTGTTTGCGTAAAGTCTTCATCTGTTTCCACACTTTCAGCATACTTTGTATTAAAGAATAGTCTCGTTGTTGTTCTTTGTCATATAATATTTTAGTATTTCTTTTTAGAATGAATATAGGAAAGAAAAAATGACAAAATTACAGTGAGAATTCTACTTTTTGAAGGCACAATAAAAGCTAAACATTAATTTTTCCTGCTTAGAATGCACATACACCAAAAACCTTTTCTTATATACTTATAAAAAGTATAAGTATCAACAATTTTGGATCCAAGGAAGATAAATTCTTGAACTAATTCAATTTCCTTCTTGCTTTTAAATGCCTCATGACCTCTGCAACTGTTGTCATTATCTTTGTTTCTCTGATATTAAGACTTAGTCCTATTTTTTCACTTTCGTCCTTGATTTTCCAGATCATTTTTCCCAAATCTTCCTTATTCTCAGCCAATAGTGTTGTATCATTTGCATACCTCCAATTGTTTATGGTTCTTCCTCCAATCTTCACTCCAACATCAGGCAATTCCAGATTTAATTTTTGTGTTATCATTTCAGATACAGATTGAACAAAAAAGCAGAGAAAATGCATCCCTGTCTAACATCTTTATTGATCCTGAATAAGTCTGTGTCACCATAATGTATTCTCACTGTTGCCTCCTGATCAGTGTAGAGCGAGCTAATGAATCTGATCAGGTGGGCTGGAACACTAAGATCATGCAAAACTGCCCATAGCTTATTGTGTTCTATACAGTCAAAAGCTTTTCTGTAATTGATAAAACACACGTAAATATCTTTTTGATATTCACAAGCCTTTTCCATAATCCATCTAATATTGGCAATGTGATCTCCAGTGCTGTGTCCCTTTCTACATCAGATAACTCTTGATCGATGACATTTTTTAGCCTCTGTTTAATGATTTTTAACAGAATCTTGTTTGCATGAGAAATCAATGAAATCATGCAATAGTTGGAGCAATCTCTGGCATCGCTTTTCCTTATTAAAGGGGTAAAAATTAATTAATTAATTAATTAATTAAAGGAGAAAAGATATACTAACACATAATGGAGAAAAGTATTTTAACTTTTGAGAAAATTCAGGGATATTTGGGAACAATCCATTCAGAAATTTCTCTTAAAATTGTCTGCTACTATAAAAATAGTTTTAAAAGAGGTGACAGAACAGCATACAATTGAGAATCAGGCTTTCAATTCCACAAATATTGAAAAGCTGTTTGGGGTTTGGATTTAAAAATGACAAGTTACAAGAATGATACAGAAAAAGATGTTACACTTGATTTACAAATAAAACCAGCTGTCTTATCATCAAGACAAGAGACAGCATACTCCAGACCAGGACTGTGGAAAGAGGAAGAGATTTAGGATAACCACTCCCTAGAGTTTCCCAGGGTTTAGGGCAGGGTAATATAGAATTAGTCTGGCAAGATTCTGTCCATATGGTATAAAGAAATAAAAAAAATGTGCTATGATGTTTTGGGGCTAGGCCTGACAATAATATCGGGTAAGGATTTAATCTAACTCTTCAGCTGTTATAAAACTATAGGCTAACTTGAAAATAGATTTCTCACAACACATCTGGTTGGACCTGTAATTCTAGCAGTTTATTAATTGTGAGACAGAAAAAGAGTAATATAATTAGAGAAAAATTCTAATATTTATAACTATCTTGGAAAAAACATATCTAATGTTTCTCAATCATCACGAATAGACTTGATCAAAGGTACTTATTTATATTTATTGCAAATGACAAAAGTAAAACAATAACTTTCATCTTGGAATAGGTTCCCTCCTTCCTGAGAAACTGTTACTATAGTCTAATGAAGTTGCTTTTGTCAAATTTCTTGAAATTGCTACTATTTTGAGCAGCTATATGCTCTCTTTGGGAATCTTGTAGGCTTTATTATGCAATAAAGTCTCTCAGCAAACCAGTTATTCACGTAAGTACAGCCCCCCTCTGTACAAGATACCTTATTTGTGATCTGTAATCCTTTACAGTGTTTGCACTCAACTGGCCTGTTTTTAAATTTGTTTTTGCTAGTTTTGTTGCACTTATTAAGGCTTTTAGCTGTAATAAAAATAATTTATAATTAGTTAATTGTTATTAGTGAATTAGTATTAACAAGTAGAAAAGGCAGTTTGTAAAACTGATGCATATATTTATAGTGGAAAATTTTGCAACCATGATGTAATAACAGAAAATAAAAAGAACAGTCAAACATTCTGCATAATTCCAGCAGAGATACTTGTTTCATAAAAAATAAATAATCCTAAACTTCAGTGTACAACAACTAAGCAATCTGACTTCATTCAGCTAGCTATTATTATTAAAAGGACTTGGCACTAGAGGATAATTGGTTTCTCTAGAATCTTTTTTTATCTTCTAGAGATTCAGTTTTAGGAAACCAAACAAATTATGGCCATAAATAGTTCTCTATATGGTAAATGGAATTTGTCATCACAATGTTCTAAAAGAGGTATCTATTATCCAGTGTAAATATTTATATTATCATACATTGACTACAGTTATATACGTCCTATTACAGGCAGTCCTTGACTTACAATTGTAATTGAGCATCCAATTTCAGTTGTAAGCTGTAACAGTCATAAAACAAAACACCACATGACTTCACCTGGTTTTAGCTTTTTGTGGCAGTTGTTAAGTGAATGTGGCAGTCATAAATCAAATACCATAGTTTTTAAATGAATGCTGCAATTGTTAGGTGAATCCATTGTTCACTACGGGGTGTTTTGTCAGAAACCAGAAGCAAACGCTGGTTTCCAGTGAAACATTGTGGCTGCAGAATGCTACAAGGGCTGTAAATGAGGGCTGGTTCCCAAGTGCGCAAAATAAATATGTAGCATGAATGCAATTCATGCATTCAATTCAATTGTTTCTAAACAAAAACAGTTCAAAGGCTGGCAGGGAGATGGGAGGAAACAACAATTCCCCACATATTTCTAGGAAATATATTTTAGACTATTCTGAATGTTAATTTGGCATATATAAATTTAATAATAAATTTATTGTCTCATCTATGTTGTAATATTGGAAGCAATATAGAAATAGAGCCCTAATCAAATCAAAATTTCAAAATGAATATGTACAGATATTATGACAATATATATTAAAGTTAGAGATATCTCTAGTTTTCAAATTGAGACAATCTGAAGTCATTTAAACATCCTTTTAAACATTATTATATTAAAATATAACAAAAGTATTCTCTTACTTTTTCAGAAAGCAAGTTAGTAACGTTTTGCTCTTGCCTTTTCTGAAAGCATTCATAAATATCAAGCAACTTAACAGCCAACACTTGCTCACAGTTAAAAAGAGAATGATGACTGAAGACAATACTTGATATGTTAAGATCTAGTTGATACATTTCACAGACATCAAACGTGGTACAATTTTCCAACTCCGCTTGCGTTGCCTATTTTGAGAGATGAAAAACACAATTTTTTCTCTCAAAGAAAGAAATTCTGAGCAACAATACAGG